AGATAATCAAAATAACTCAAATAAAAACATAGCTCAACTCAAAGACCCCAACCCGATGTTACACTATCAGAGCAAGACCCTCTAAGTTGACCAAAGGTCAACAACTTAAAACTTCAAAAGTCCTCAACGACATCCACGACTAAATCTAGTCATCTGCACGTTACCTACGTGGAGGTAACATTCAAACAGGCAGGGTGAGTAAAATGGTTCATAATAATCAATGTTTGAAAATCAACATATAAAATGACGTCATTTTCATATTCAACACATTCATATCCTTCCATAGGCCTCGAAGGCCACAACATCATAATTCATACAAAAAGACTCATAAATGCAATACAACAAGACTTAATGCATGTGATACCAATCATCACAACGCGATGGACACTGGGCCGTCAACCCTCTGTAGATCCCCATCAATAGGATCAATTATACTAGAGAACCGGAGCACATCAAAATACTTCACATCCGCACAATGAGATTGAAGCCAAAATAATCGAGATCCTGAACCGAAGTCTGGATGCATATGAATGCATGATGCACACATCAATAATCATCCTCATAATAACATCATAGGTGCATCATCATTCATCATATTCATCATTTTCACAATCATCATCATATCTCATGTCATCGTAGCTCATCATAGCAATCATCATCATACATTATGTCATCATAGCTCATCATATTAATCATCATCATACATCATGTCATCATAGCTCATCATATTAATCATCATCACACATCATGTCATCATATAATTCATCAAAGTCATGGTAATATCATCATAGTATTCTAATCAATACATCATAGAAATCACCATGTAATCATGTACACATCACATAAAACTCACAGTCATACTCATGTTAATTCATCACAGAAATCACAGAATCAAACATCGAGGCATCGCTGCACACGATCAATATTCGCGAAACTTTGCTACGTTCGCTAGGCGAGTTTCTTCGCTAGGCGAGTCTGGGAACAACATTGTTCGCTGGGCGAAGCTTTCTTCGATAGGCGAACAGTGCGATAACAACAAATTCTACTACGCACCAGAACCCAAATCCACCCAAATCCACACGGTTCACTTCCCCAATGCCCCCAAAACATCCTTAAATCATTCCTAAGGTCTTACGACGATAAAGGCACAAAACCTACGGTTCATTAGGCCAATCCCGCAACATATTCACGCCCTAAATCACAATTTTTCCTTCAATTACACCCTACTCATTAGGATTACTCACTAATCACTATCCAATATTCCTATCCCTTCAGGGTCAGGCATATAAGAATTCAAGGTTTTGGCCGCGAAGGCCTAGGTTCCCTTTTTCCCCATGGAACTCACAGTCAGATTCACCACTCATAGGTTTAGTCCGCGAAGGCCAAAAACCACTATTTCTCATATCTACCCTCAAAATCCCTTAAACCTTAAATCAACCTTAAATACATCAAATGTCACACATGGAAAATCATGAAAAGCTATACTCTTCATACCTTAATTGTCGATCAAAACCTTCTCAAATCTTTCAGGGAACCTTTCGAAGCTTTTGCCTCCAATTCTCCCTCCTCAGAGCTCTGGCCTCAATTCTCTTCACGGTCTAACAAATGAATCCTAATCCATTTACAATTTTCTTTTTGTTAAACCTAGACTTGAGCCTCACAATTGTGCTTTTTCCATATTATCCTCACTAACTCCTCTTAATTGTCCAATTTGCCTTTATTTAACTCATATTTATTTTAATTAATAATAATATTAATATATTCATATTATATATTATTATTCAAAATAAATAATCCAAATTCCATTAATTCTCAATATTCCACAAAACCACCGAAAATCACCGAAATGCGAATATTCTTATTTAAATAAATTAAATAAATATTCCAATATAATTTGGTGTGTTATAATAACTGTCTTTATGATAATCTAAAAGATTGTTACACTGTAGACCTAAGCTTGTACATTAATTCTCTATAATCACGGTCTAACTTATATGACATAAAATCAATGCAATTATGAAATTATGCAATAACTGTATTAATGGATGCTAAAAAAATAAAGGAGATAAAGGAAGAAGCAAAGAGAAACAGAGATATATAGTGGTTCGACGCTCGTCCTCACTTTGCCTACTTAACTATTCAATGATGTTAATTAACCACGGGAAAATAATCACGATATTTCATCAAGCATTTTGATTATAACGAACTATCACACGATAATTCTCTTTGTTGATGCAGACACTCAAACTGCTAACAAAAACAATACTTTAAAGATCTTGATCCAATAATCTTTCTATCCACAATAATCTGTTCCAAATATTCGTGCGTGTCAATGCCCTTGATCCCGCCTATTTCTCGTGTGAAAGATTGTCATTAGCTAAACATTAATTAGACAACTCCTAACTTTGTTTGCGAGCAATCTTCCTTCAACTCTACTAATAAAAGATAACTTTCAACTCCATCTTACGAACAATTAATACTTAATCTCGCCAAAACCTTTCTTAAAATTTAATTTATTTTATTTTAAAGCTATTTAATTGAATTGAATTTAAATATTTAATTGAAACGAAATATTCATGAACTTGAATCGAATTGAATTTTGAGATAAATTTTTTTTATCATATACTAAGTTGAATTTCGAACTAAATTAATTTTTACATGTTCAAATTAGCTTGAGTGAAGAATGTGTAAACCAAACTTAGAAAAAGTTCAATGAAACAAATAAGCTATGGATCGAGCCGTTGCAAGAGATATTGCGATGACATCATACATTATTTTCGTATATAAAGGAAGTGCCCTACAAGATGGTCATCTAGGTCAAATAAAAGAGAAGCATTATTAAAATTTTAAAAATAAAATAATCTAGAAGATGAAGATAAAGACGGACGGTCTTAAAAATAAAAATAATAAAAAAGGAAAACGCTAAAAATAAAAAACAATCCAATTAGATAAAGCCGTGACGAAATTAAACCCACTGTCAGGTAAGATTATCAAAGCCTTAGAAGAATCTTCTTCGCTAGTTTACTTGGAAAGGAGGAAAACAGTGTGAATGAGTTCGCACGGTGTGCTACGAAATCGCCACCCTTAAAAACCCCACCGACCTATTCCTTTTCTCTCTCAGGCTCAGGCGTCGTTTTTATTGAATTTTTCATCGCCGCCTCATTCAGTTAGGGTTTCTCGTTCCTCTTCCTAAACCTCATCTGAAATCTTGCAATTCCAATATAGATGGAAAAAAGCTATAATTAAATAAAATTAGAGGAAGAGGTATACGAACTGTGCTTGTTTATTGTGTTTTCAGTTTTACCGTCAGTTTCATCGATGTTGTTTTCACGATTTTCGGCTCAGATTTGAATAATTGTTCGTTATTATGATTTTCTCGAGTTTTGAATTTTTTAATCTGTTGACTTCTCGATTGGAACTTGGATTTTTGTAGATCGGCGTTGGTTTTAAATGTTCGGAGTTTTCAAATCGATTTTCATTGTTTTTTGAGGCTTAATTCATCGCCGGGAGTGAATTAATAGATTTTTTTCATGTTTGTTTTTTTGCTGCGTTGATCTGTAGATTCGTGGATCTATTAAGATTTGGTTGTTGATTTATACTGTTTTGTGATTTTAATTTTGCAGAAAATTTCTAGCTTCGTCTGATTTGTATTTTTGTGTTTTTATATTTATATATATTTTTTATTTCATGATCAGGATTTTAGGTGTTTCAGAGAAAAGCATGTACAATATCAACTGCAACAGCAGTGCTTGGTATGCATAATTTTTTTATTATGCTTTAGTTAATTATGTGGTATTTCCTAATTTTGATTGATATATGAATTTCTTGTTGTTTTAGTTTTGGTTGTTATGCTCCACTCTTTTAGATTCAGGGACTAATACTAGTTTTGATTGGTATGCTATATTGCTCCTTTCATGGAAGGTGGAGACTTCAATGATGTCTAGAGTTTAGACTAAAAGAACTCCAGAATTCCTCAAGGCTCTTATATGGCCATTGTTGAAACTAGTTTTGCTTGCTAACTGAAGTTATGGGTGCAGGGAGAATAGGCTAAAATCTATTCATCACATGTTCTTTTTACTCTGTTTAATTTTTAGATTTTTTTATTCTTTGTCAAACGATTTAAAATGAACATACAATATGCTTTTTAAAACTATAGTTAAGTGTTGAGAATATGATTTGTAGCAACAAATTTTTAATTTTATGTGTTTGATCATTAATATAATATGGAAGTGATCTACGGTTGATTCTTAATATAAAGAGAGACATTATTTGAATTTGTTTTCGAACTCTTCCAAAGTGTATTTCATGTGTTCACTTTATTGGAGGTTTAGTTCTGCGGAGAAAAATATACCCCGTGCAAGGTGGGAGATTATCCTTCCTTCCCATTTAAGCATCCCTTTCTCCTCAAAGCTCTTCCCTTCATTTCCCTACCAACTCCCAGTCAAAGACCAAGGTTAAACCCGGGTTTAAAAGATTGAGGTGGGTTAGTCCGTTGGTTCTATATCATTAAGCTTTCGTATGTCTCCTTTTATGGCTGCACACTCGGTGCTTGAAACTTAAGAAAGCAAGGGTCTTTCTACTTATTATATATAAGAAATACTGGCCAGACGACCCATTAAAGATTTTGATGTTTTACTATAAACTATAAACGACAATGGATACATATTTTTCCTATCTTCTCTGAGATAGTACTTTTTGAAATTTCATCTGAAAGCCGAAGCATTTTAGATTCATTGTTTTGTCACACTTGGAATACTTTTATTGATTAATTTATAATTTATCTTGTCAGCTGCATAATGATGTATACATGATCCTATAGATTAAATCCATAATCTCAATTTTTATATATGTAGGGAGTTCCAAATATTCTTGATGCCATGCTCCTTGCCCTCACCGGCGCAGTTTATTTAAAACTGCCCAAGGCCTAGAATTCTGTTTGGCTGCTGCATCTGAGCTTTTATATTTGAACGCGTTTAAAGATATTGATCTAGTAGATAAAAATGGAAGCAAACAACGAGAAGGCATTGGATAGGTCTGTGCTCAATCTGAAGCGAAAGCGTGCTTCTCGATATGCTACATGTCCAAATGGAGCTCTGCGATCAGTGTTACCTCAATGGACATCACTCATATCACCGAGAAACAAGATTGTCAAACGAATGAGATTGAACAGGTACAAAAGCAAGCCCACAAACTCGGAGACTTGTATTGGGCAGTCGTTAATTCGGTATTATATGAATTTTAAGAAGAGTGGACGCCCTGAACGTTTGATGGTCTATGAAAATGGTGAATGGAAGGACTTCCCTAGGGATGTTGTTGACTTGGTTAGGAAAGATTTTGATGTAAAGAAAGCAGTTGTGGAGGTTGAGTTAAATGGCCATCATCTTGTGCTGAATTTTTTGCACATGTATCAGATGAATTTGAAATCTGGTTTGCAGCAACCTATTGCTTGGATTGATGAGAATGGGTGTTGCTTTTTTCCTGAAATTTATACTGCTTCTAATGAAGGGCCTCTCTGCAATCAGGACGGTGGAAAAGGCCATGAATCATTCCTCCAAGATCCCAATGAAATTAAATTACATTTAGAAATTGAAATAAACGGAATGAATGCATCTCAGTTTGGGGAGTGCAGTGGGGAGTCCAATGTTTTAGTTAAGCATATTCAAGTCGATGCTAAACAAGCCTGCAGTCAAAATGATTTAGAAATTGAAGATAGTAGTAATAAAATGGGAGATGGAAATGTTGGTGAACCTGTTGAGCAAAATAAAAATATAGGTTTTAATGCTTATAATGAAACTGTATATGGAAAGTTAGATTTGGATACTGTACAGAATATGTTTCTCAAGGGAATTAGTAGTTTTGGTAGTGCTGACATAGTTGAGATTTACCCCTTTTCAAGTACATTGATGCAATCACGATTGGAGCTGTTTGAGAAGCAAGCTGAAATTACGAAGAAGTTCCGAGGGGATGCTAATGTTCAATATGCTTGGCTTGCTTCTTCTAAAGGAGAACTGTCTACTATGATGACATGCGGGCTTGGCCATTGTGGACTATCTGCATCTAAATGCACACATGGTATTGGTGTTCATCTTGCAGCTGCTACCTGTCCTTTTGCCAGGTTGACTTTCTAATCATCAAATTTAAACAATAGTCTTTTCAATACTAATAATGTTGATGAAGTTACCCAAGGCTTGAATTTGTCTAGTTAAAGCAAGATGAATAGGAACGTAGAAGCTTCCTTCCCTTGATTGTTACTGTCAAGTGGCAATATATATTTTCCTTTAAAACGTTATATGATGTTAGTAATTTGATATTTTTCTTGCATGCTAAGAACTTCCCCACCATATTTATTATACATTGATGATATTTTAATTCATTTTAAATTTGATATTTTTCTTGCATGCTAAGAAGTTTTCCCCCCCATATTTATTTATAGATTGATGTCTTCTTTAATGTCTACTTTAGTACTTCATTATGGTATTATTTTACACCCTTCTGCTATAGATTATTCTGTTGTATTGAATAGAGAAAGATTCAAGTTTGGCTTATTTACAGTGCTGATTATTGTGATGTTGACGAAAATGGGGTTCGGCACTTGGTCTTTTGCCGTGTAATAATGGGGAATATGGAGCTTCTCCGTCGTGGCACTAGACAGTTTCGTCCCAGTAGTAGTGATTATGATAGTGGGGTGGATGACATCCACAATCCAAGATACTATGTAGTATGGAACATGAACACGAACACCCACATCTATCCAGAATTTGTTGTTAGTTTCAAGGTCTCTTCTAATGTTGAAGGTGAAGCATTGCTCCTTTAGCCCTTTTATGTTTTCTATTTCTTTATGTTTTCTAACAAAAATAAGATCCTATCCATTTTCATATTATAATATTGGTATTGGTATATGGTACTTGATGAGTTGATCAGAGGCTAACTAGTTTATATATGATTCGGTTCATACCATTTGGATGGAGGGCTCCTTCTGACTGGGCACTTGAGCGCCCTCATATTCGACAGATCACTTCATGTCTGGTCAATGACATAACCTTCTGTTTCTGCTGCTAAGCTGTATGAGTGCCATTCCTTTTGGAAATTTGTTTCTTTTTTTTGTCACTGATATATTATTCTTTTTTACAGGCCTTTCAGGAAATGAGAGAAAACATAATATTTTGGGGATTAATTCAGCTAGCCAAAGTCCTAAAATCTTGTCACGTTCAGAGACTTCGACAGTAGACAATGTAAGTTCTTTGGTATTTTGAGCAATACCTCCAATCATGGTTGTTAAAATCTAGTGTCAACCTATGAAGCACGGACACCCCAAATATGACCCCGACATTTACACGTCGACACCTGTAATAATTTGAAAAAGTGAATGAATTGAACGTAATTACAAGTGTTAATGCAAGCGTCCGACCCCGACATGGACATGGACACGCTGTTTTTCACGGGTGTCCGTGCTACATAGGTGTTAACTCATAATATTGCCCGATTTTAAGTTGTTAGGTGTAAATTTAAATTAAACTCTGAAATCGGATAGAATTGGAATCAATTACATTCGAATTTACCCAATTTCATTCGAATTTACCCAATTTCACTTGATTTTGAAGAAATTAACTTACGTTTTAAAGTTAACTTTTAACAACTTTAGAAACTTATGAAACTATCATCTTTTTTTGTTTCTTTTGGGTGTTTTTATGACCTGGTTACGTAGTTTGTGTAATTTGATACAAGTTTGTGAACTTGACACTTTATTATGGTGATTTGGTATATGTTAGACTTAAAAACTCGATTTTAACAACCTTGTCTCCAATAACCTTACCTCCATTGCTAAATTTCCTTTGTGATAGGCAATATCATTTTAATATACTACCGTTTTACTTATTTCTTATTCTTTTACTTTCTTTTAATTAATCTCTCGATAAAACCCATGGCCTAAAGGTGAAAGTTTGAGTCCCTTGAGTGTGCTCCTCTCAAGGTATTTAGTTTGAACCCCGCTATTTGCAAACAATTCATGTGTTGGACCAAGTCCATGGCTTTAAACGGGGCCTTCGCATGTAGATGGTAGATAACTTGAATTTGATGCTTTTGTTTGTAGAAGAAATAACTTCTGGTTCTGAAAAATGGGCATTTATAAAAGAATTAAAGCCATAATATGTAGATTTTTCTTGTCTAAAGTTGTGTGCCAGTTATAGAAGTGACTTACAGTGCAAAGAAAAGGTGCTGCAAAAATAAGCTTTCGAGCTCAGATCAGGGTTTTGGAAGGAAAATAAATATTCAGATAAGACGTGAGATTAATTTAATTTCCGTATAATTGCATCGGTAAGAGGAATGGCGGTCGATGATAATGATGTGGTACCTATGCATCACTACTCCAGTGACTTACAGTGCAAAGAAAAAGTGCTGCAAAATTAAGTTTTCGAGCTCAGATCAGGGTTTTGGAAGGAAAATAAATATTTAGATGAGACATGAGATTAATTTAATTTCTGTATAATTGCATTGGTAAGAGGAATGGCGGTCGGTGATAATGATGTGATACCTATGCATGACTATTATGGTGAAATAGTCTCCTCTAAATCATATTACTCGATAACAACAACAACCAAGCTTTACCCCCCAAGTTGGGTCGGCTACATGGATCTCAAGACCACATGTCTATCCAAATTGTTAATCTTGAGATTTTTTTTAAATAATTTCTCTTATAGTTTTTTTTAGGTCTTTTGATGTTTGTCTTCTCTTCCTCTCATCTACAGTTGATAGCTTTTAAAAAATAAATAAACTCAGACAAAAGTTGTCTTTATTGACTTCTGATTCAACAAGGTTTGGAGGTTTCAATTTATACAAATCTAGGATTCAGTCAGACCAAAAACCACCAGTTCACAGCCAAATGTGTATGTAGCGTGTATGCACGACACATTTAGGCTATTTTAGATCTTGAATTTGCTTTTGGTTTGAAATATTCTATATTTGAGACTTGTTGTCGGTAAAGAAAAATGTCCAATCAACTTTTGATTTGTGGGTTACCTCAGGGAATGGCAACTAGTTTACCTAAAGCTCCAACATCCCCTTGGATGCCTTTTCCTGTGCTTTTTGCTGCTATCACAAACAAGGTTCCTGCCAAGGATATGGAACTTATCAAAGTGCATTATATGCATTTCAGGGTATGTAATAGTATAAACTAACATTACTAGTTGCCACTTTCTGTCGTAATTGATAGCTTTAATATAATTTATCGTTGTCTTCTGGTAATTAATCATCAGTCAAAAGAGATGACTCGGGATGAGTTTGTGAAGAAGTTGAGGTTGATTGTGGGAGATGCGCTCTTACGAGCTACAATAACTGGTTTAACTGGTCTTCAACGCAAGGTACTGCTCTCAAGGCTTTGCATTTTTCTCCCTTGATTCTATGATGGACTCTAGTGAATGGTTTATTTTCTCTGTGGTTATACCTATACCTCCTAATTGCTTAAGTGGCTTTTGCAGATACCATCCCAGTCGTCCTGTGCGATCAAAATGGAATCCTGAGTCTGCCTTATTATGTACGGGGAGGTGACCTTTACACTTCAAACTTTGCCGACTTAACGTGGAACACTATGGAAGAGCCAAAATGATGATGGGAATGTTGCTAGCTCTCGAGATAACCATCTACTTTTGAATTTTCTTTTGATTGCATCTTCTTTTTGACATGGAACATGTTATTTAAACTTCATTTGAATCGTTTTTATCAGTGGCATCATATGCACCTTACTGCCTAATACTTTGAACCTTAGTGGATTTTTATGATAAAACTGCATTTTGATATTCCATTTTTCTTTTCGCACATCAAGTTGAGTGGTCCTTTTGATGGTACTTTCAAAATGTAACATGGTAGTGTTTTTTTCCTACCACTTCTGTTTTAATATAGGTTTAATTCATGTTGGAGTCCTTTGTCTATGGGGACATGAAAAATATTGTCGGACCTAATATATTTGAGTCAGTTAACAGTATGGAACAAATTGAATTGAGAGACTTCAAAAGGGATTCCAGCATAAATTAAGCCTTAAAGAGAACATTGTTAAGTTTAAAATGAGATATTGTCAAAAAATGACATTTTAATTAAACTGATTTTATTAACAATTCGTGTGGTTGTTTTTAAAAAAACTATTGATTGAGTTTTGATTCTCCTATTTTAAAATCTGATATTTTTGTCTCTATTTTTAATTTTTTAACATTTTGGTCCTTTTATTTTAAAATTCAGAATTTTGGTTCTTCTATTTTCTTTTTTTTATTTTTTTATTTTGGACTCTTATTTTAAGTTTTGTTTTAGATTTTAGTTTTTTTTTTTAAATTTGGAACTAATTTAATAAGAAATTAAAAATTCAAAAAAAAAAAAGGATTAAAATTAAAAAAAATAAAAATGAAGGGATAAAATTTTTGAATTTTAAAATAGGAAAATTATAATTAAAAAAACTGAATGTATGAGGCAAAATTTTAGATTTCAAAATAGGGGGATTAAAACTAAAAAAAAAAGAAAAAAATAGAGGTAACAAAATTGCAATTAAGCCAATTGTAAATGTAAAACAAATATAATTTTAAATTTGATGTATAGGTTATTTTATAGCATACATGTTTATAAAAGTTTATTAATAAATTAATTTAAGATAGATTAGAATCATTAATTATTTAATTAATTTAAAATATAAAATTCTCTACTCCATTTTATGCACACATTTAGATTACGCACTTCAAATCCAAATTGAAAAAAGTATTTATATTGGAGAATTGATATTGTTGCATTGAGTGAAACACCTACAATGTATAATAATACGGTTTTATTTTTTAAAAATGCTTAATTATTTTTTTTTTCTTTATTCTTCAACAAACAAATACGTGAATCATGTTGTATTTTATATGGTGTAAGTCTACGTGTCATTTTTTAGGATATAAACATAGCATCCCTCTTTATATTGAATGGTTCTTGCTCGAATAAGTTTACATCTGACAGAGTTAGCGATCTGGGATACTCTTTTCATTCTTACATGTGTATAATTATAGAGGATTTTTTAATCTACACCTTGATATTTTTAATCATCTAACAAAATTTCTATTATGTCTCTGTTTTTGGAGATATATATTTGGATGCATTTTTTTTTACGCTGAATGCTTTCGGAGACACATCTACGAATTTTTTTTTTAGATGCATCTCTGAAATCTTATCAAAACATGATGTTTTTATAAAAAAAATTAAACTTTGTTGGTCGCGGATGAAAATTAACTGTTACAGATGAATATAAAATGACATACATCTGACATATATATATATATATATATATATATATATATATATATATATATATATATATATATATATATATATATATATATATATATATATATATATATATATATATATATATATATATATATATATATAAAGTAGTAATATGTCATAATCATCATCAAAAAATAGTACATCAATGTCATCAAAATATAGTACATAAAAATAATATCACAGTCACTACTGTATGCCTACCGCCTCCTTGACCGCGCGGTCTGCGTCCTCGACCATCGATCCCATCCGTCTTGGCACGATGCCTGCGGTATATAAGTTCCCCCTCTGCCACCGCAATCATCTCATTCAACCACGCCTGTGGTCAGACCCTTTAAGGAAGAAATTGGCGGCAATGCCTGCCCGCCCCATCTCCACTATTTGGCTATAGCGAGGTAGGACATCCTGAGTGTGGTACAACTGAGACTATTGCTCCTCTATGATCTCCTTATTAGCTAGTCTGGACAGTGATCCTTTTGCAGTGGGCACCATGTAGGGGTGTGAGACGGTAAAGAATCACATGATGTAGCCATCAATGCAGCTCCAGTCTCCCGGCGATCAGGTCGCCCGAACCTCATCCGAGATCATGTGCCTTTGGTAGTTGGCATAAATCTCCTCTATTTGTATACGGGTCAAGCCGAGAGGAGCAGAGACAACTCGGTGTCTAGGTATCGTCTGTGTGCACCCGAACTGCCGCATAACGCGCTCGGGCAAATATGGGACAATGATGGTCGAACTGCATGCCAACCATTATGAGAATAGTGATATGTCGTTAAACGGGCGCGTCGCATGGTGATCAGCATAGACATCGCAAAATATTTCCTCAGCAACCAAGCGATTGAGATAGACTCTGTAAGGGTCGACCTTCTTGTTCCTCTTGAGCGGGAGAAATGCACGAGCACGCGACATCAACTCTGTGTAATCAGGCATACTCTCTCACCTGGAGATCATGGGAAAGTGCTGGAATATCCAAGCCTGAAATGAAAATAAAAAACATCAGGATCAAGCATTATCACGAATATAGAATGAAAATAAATGAAAAATAAAGTCGAAGGATATAAGATTGTTACCACAAGTAGTGCCACTCTCCCTACCACAGTCCTGGTCTTCCATAGGCATCCCTCTCGTAGCCTCGAATACGTGTAAGCTAGGGTAGCCGCCCCCCAGTTGTACTCATGGATCCACGTGGAATCCAAAAAGTACCTCAGGTAAGCGACATCCGTATATGTGGAGGAAGTGTCCACAAACAGCCGAGTGCCGACTAAAAATATAAAATAACACCTCAGCACATGCTGCCTGTGTATCTCAACCTCAGTTGGATCACCATCTACCTGGCGTGCAGCAGCGAGCGCCTCACCAAATTTACGCGTGAGAAAGGAGAACCTTGCATGAGGCCCTCTAGTCTTGTCCACCTCTTCAAGTGCATCCAAAGGATTAGCCCCAAGCTCTTCGACCAACATCTCTCTCGCATCCTCCTTTGTCATCCTAGCATGACGGAGGAGGGTACCCCTGATCAGTATATGTAGACAGAAGATGTTGTCCAGTGTGATCGTGAGCTCGTCGTGCGGTAGATGGAAGGAGGACGTCTCAGGTTGCCATCTCTCTGCAAAGCCCATCAGCATTCCATTGTGGATCATGCTGTAACCGATATCACAAAGGACCTTTAAACCAGAGGCGGCAAGGACATCCTGGAACCAAGCCTCTTGTGGCTGATCCAAAGATAATATATTCCGCCCGTGGTTATAGAACTTCTGCGACCGATGAGTCTGAAAATTTTCATAAATAAGAAACAATGATACTGATTATAAATTTCCAATGAAATAAAAAGAAACAATCTGAGTAATGTTACCTCTCAATCTCAGACATGTATGGCAGTATGGTCAGCGTATCCTGTCAACAAGGACATATCTGAGGGACCCTTGGAAAACCCTCGAGCTCATTATCGTCGTCGCCACCAGCATCCTCCGTATCATCGGCAGGAGGAGGAACAGGAGTATCCCGGTGGGGCCTACGGGAGGACGGGGCCTGTGATGAACCCTCAGCTGAATCCCCACGCCTCTAGGATGAAGAAGTGGATGATGGGGTGGGATACGAGTTTGAGGGAATGTCCTGGGTATATGATGAAGAAATATGTGTTTCAGCTGTATTAGCCTCGATAACGGTGGTCTGCCTCCGCTCACGTCTCACAGATGCATGCTGTGAAACTCATCCAAGTCGCAATCTATCTTCTCTGTCTGCCATAATGTCTGCAAGGTATAACCAAGAAAAAACAATTAGATACAAATAAATTAAAAAAGAAAAAAGAAAAAAATTAACATTTTTTTACTTCCAGATGTGAACATACGAAAAACTTTCGTAGATGTATCTACAGAAGAACCCAAAATTCAGAAAGTTTGATTTGTTCAGGAGCTGCATCTACGGAATTTTCCTAACGTTAATTTGTTCCGTAGATGTAGCTCCGGAACTTCCTGCAGCTCCAACAGTCATGGAAATGACGTTCCCTACCCATGAAATCGATTTTTTAAAGCCCCGATCGTTCAATTAAGCCAATAAATAATACCTGCATTGTCTCTAAACTATGTTTCTAAAAGTATCTAAGAATTTCTACCCATAAAACTATATTCTAACTCATTTATGGAAAATACTCGAAAGTACCTCAGAAACTCGAAAACTTACCGATTATATCGAACTTTGAATGAGTTGGAGTGTCTTGATCATTGAAATGAATGCTCCTTGTCAAATTTGATTGAAAAAAGTTAAGTTTGGTGGAAAAATAATTTTTGAGGATTGAGAGAGTTTGGAGAGTGAAGAAGATGAAAAATGAAGAATGATGGAGAAGAAGGGACTCTGGTGCAAATGTATTTCAATTTGTTCTGGAGCTATATAAACGAAAACATTTCATAGATGTAGCTCCGGAAAAAACCAACATTGAGTAAAAAAAAGGTGCGTTCAGAGATATATCTCTGGAAGAAGGGGGTATTTTTGGAAGCAAACATGGTGCCTAAGAACTCCAAGGGGCGGGGTAAGAAATTCTCTAATTATAATACACTATTGGAAATCCTGAAGTAAGTTTTAGGTGCACTCAAATCACAATCAAAATGTGTTATTATGAGATCCACCATATTTTTTTACCAAATTGTGGTTCAGAGATGTATCTCCGTTTGATTATTTGATGTATCCGAAAATGCATCTTCAAAATGTCCGTTGAAAGTTTTTG